GGTGAAGCCTGTTGACACCACTGGTGCAGGCGATGCGTTTGTTGGTGGGATGTTGAGCAACCTAGCTTTTAACCTAAATCTATTCGAGGTAAATATAGTTGCATACAGAATCAGAATGGCTCAATCTTTTTATCCCATTGATAATTTTAAATCTCTGAATCAATACAGCTTCCTATAGATTCCATACAACCTTGTAGTCAAATTGTTCCTTTGCTACAAAACAGAATAGAATTTCACTGTATTTCTCTGAGATTCCAGACACCATATGTGTGGACTCCATTTGTCATTATAGTAACTCCCTTTGTGTGGACTCCATCAAAATGTTCCTTTGCTCTAAAACAGAATGAAATTTCACTGTATTTCTCCGAGACTCCAGACACCATTTGTGTGGACTCCATTTGTCATTATAGTAACTCCTAACTGAACCTTTTAACCCTCCCTCCTTTCCTGCAGGATGAGAAGCTATTAAGGGAAGCTCTTTTGTTTGCAAATGCCTGCGGTGCTGTCACGGTAACAGAGAGAGGTGCAATCCCTGCACTACCTACCAAAGAAGCCGTCCTGAAACTTTTAGGGAAAGTCTCCCCAGGATGGAAAGCACAGACATAAATCAACCCTCATGTTCTTTCTTGTGCCAAGTTGTTTGAGTTTGAAATCTTTGCATAACACCTTTGGTTTTTGCTTGTTGTTCTTCTCTTTCATGCTCATGAACATCAAAGGTTGTAATAATCAATCCCCACAAGCATTGTAGGTTAGATTGTTTAATAAAATCAATGATCTCAAATCTATTTTCAACATGATCAGATTAACTTCCACTATCAAAACTAAAGTGTGTTGACGTTTCTTGACTTGCTAGCCGTGCTCGAGTTGTTTTGCACACAGCTATATAGCCTCAAGGTCACAAGGGCGAAAACTTTCTTTTCTTGTCAGGCTTGCTATCACTGTTTTATCTCGAACATGCATGGTCTCCACATTCTGAAAGGTTTCAAGTGTGTTGCCACTAACATCGATTGTGTTTGTACAAATATAGAATGAAGGAATATGCATTGTTAGTGCATGATCAAGAAATTATAATAGAAGGATCAAGAAGTAGAATATTCATTTTTTCATATTTTTTTAAAAAACCAGAATATACCAAAAAATGGTAGCTATGGTAGCCTGGATCTAACTTAGTATTGACTTGAAAAGAAATCTGGATAATCAGGTTAATTATTTTTTATTAAAATTTGAAAACTTGATCTTGGAGTTAGCTATAGAATAATGTTCTAGTCAAGTGGTAGTGATAAAGGGTCAATCTAATTTCTTTAAAAAAAATCAAAACAATTTTGATAGAAAAAAATTAATGGGTAATGATAAAGGGTCAATCTAATTTCTTTTAAAAAAATCAAAACAAAATTATTTTGATAGAAAAAAATTAATGGGTAATGATAAAGGGTCAATCTAATTTCTTTAAATTTAAAAAAAAATCTAAGCAAAGTTATTTTGATAGAAAAACATTAACGGGTTGATGATTTAGTTTTGACTAGGTCAAATCCGAGTTAACTAAATCCCTAAATTAACTTGAATTTTTTACCAGGTAGCTGAGTTTTTTTTTTTTTAATTAGGGTCAGCTTAAGTTTTACATTAACCTATTGAACCAATCTAAATTTTAAAAATAATAATTAAAATAGTATTGTTTTATTGATATTTAAATAAACTAAAAAAAATTAATACCACAAGTATGACCAAATTCTTCTTAATTTCTACCATGAAGAAGGTATGAACTACCCCCTCCATTTAAATAGAATCACATTCATTGTTAATTTTGGTGCCACAATTATCATGACTCTTAGCTCTATAACTTTTATGTATATATTTAAAATTTACATAATATCATAGATGATTATTTATTTTAATTGTCGCACCTGTTAATTATCATTATTTGTAGTAAAATAATAATTAATTAACATTTCACTCATATAATTAAAAGTAAATATGAAGAAATGCATTAAATTGATATGAAAATATGATCCTAAAATCATTGAGAGCTAAGACATAAGCTAATCCATAAATTGCAATTAAGAATTTGTTTTATTGATAATTATTTAATTTTTTTGTTAATAAAAAAGATGATCATTCAAATTTTTTGATGAAAATATCACATTTGTTTCAAAATAGAAATATAAATGCATCATTGTTGTCATCTCCAAATCCTTCGATGATGTTTAAACTAGAGGTCAGACCTGATAGTCTTTTTTGAAAAGCTCCTGTCATTACCTACATCGAGACGGTCTCACTCTGCTCTCTCTCTTTATTATTATTGTAATTATTACTTAATTTATTTATTTTAATGTGAATCATTGTTATTTTTTAGATAATTGAAGAAGAACAACTTCAATTAAGGAAGTAAGTTTTACGCTTCTCGTTTATTTGGATATGTAATTATGTGTTGATAATCAAATATAGTTTCGATAATCAGTTTATCTAGTGATTTAATTTATTTCTGAGAAAAAAAACCACAAGAATAATTACTGGAATTAGTGAATCTCAGTCATTAATATCTTATTTATAAATTTATTTGATATTTTTTAATTTTTTATTGTAAGATATATTGAAGAAAATTATTTGAAAATTCGTTATGCAAAGAGAATGAGTGAATCTTAGTGTTTAAGAATCTAAAAGAAAATAATAAAAGAATTTCTGAAATCTTATTGATGATTTTTTTTATTTAATTTGTGTTAGATATGTCGAAGACAATTATTCATAGATTTGTGATGCAGAGAGAATAAATAAATTTCATTTTTAAGAATTAAAAAATAAACAATAAATATAATTTTTTTATGAATTTTTTTTTATGTTAGATATATTGAAGAAAATTATTCAAAGATACATGATATAGAGATAAAGCTAGTGAATCTTACATTAAAGCAGGTTGATATGCAACGATGTTGTAGTTTTTCAGTCTTGGATTTGGTGTTTTGGTGATACTACTTATGATTTTTTATGTATGATGGGGGGTGTGGATAAGTTTAAGCACTTGAAGATATGAGGAAGAAGATAAAGATGTCAATAAAGAGAATTTGTGTTGTGAGGTTGAATGAGGAAGAAGCTTAGAAGGTTTGTCCCTTTTCATTGTCAAAACTTGGTTATTCCTGTTAGTAATGAAAGTATTAGTTGAATGATTAGAGTAATATGGATAGCATGATTATGGGATGGTGGAAATGGATTTTTAAGGTATTTAAAAGAATGTGATGTGATGTAGTAGTGAAACCAATTTCTTTGTTAGTCAAATTACATTGTGTTTTGCATATATTTTTTTTCATTAGAAATAATCTTGCATATCTGTATCATTTTAAACATGACTAATGTAATAGAGATAAATATTTGAGCTAAGAACTCGAGGTTAAACAATGTTATGGCCGAGCCCCTTAAAAAGGCCATGCTTTCACCGAATCTTTTTATTTTTTATTTTTTTTATTTCTCTCTTTGTTTTTTCTAGATGAAAAATGAATGTTAATTGATGAGGTGCCTTCCTATAAGCAAAAGACAAGAAAATGAAAATACTTTTATCTCTTCAATCCCTTCAAACATCGATTGAGCTTTTTAAAAGAAGGGAAAAAAAAAGTAGGGAAATCGAAGGCATTTCTAGTTATAATTACTTTCAGAAAAATGTTTTTTTTAATCTCCATCTCTAGTTTTCACATTTATATATTCTAAAGAGATTTTTCCATTAAAAATCAAAGAAACATGTTATTATATATAAATAAGGCCCTTAATTTTATTTTAGAGACCTTGGGAAATAATGATTTTGGTGTTTTTCAAATTTCAGAAAAAAATTCATTCTCAGTTAGTAAACACGTTTTTTTAGTTTAATGTTTCTTAATTTTTTTTTTTGAAAAACTAAAAAAAAAAGATTTCACAAGAAAAGGCAACCTTTATTTTGCTAGATAAAGAAATGCTTTTTAAGAGAAAGTATATGTTGATTTTGGAATTATTAAATGTAATCAATTCCTTGATATGGAAATATAGTATTTGTCTCGTGACTTTCTTATTGTACACAGTTAAAGTTCATGAGATGTGTGGTTTTTAACATGTTAATATTGTTGGCAAATTGTATTTTTTTTTTTCATTTGATATGTTGATATGATGTGCATATTATTGACTATTATTGATACATGTAAATATACAATAAAAATATCTACATATAATATGTGTCTATCATAGTAGATCACCATTAAAAAAAAAACAAAGAAAACCATAAATTAGAAAGCTCATTGATAGTTTGTATGTAGTTTATTCCATTAAAAAAACTTATTCTTATCAACTCATGTCCCAGACCTGCGAAAATTTATTATTACAGTATAGTTGTCTTGGATTATACTAACTTTAATTATCATATTAGATAATAAGATGATGTTTATATGATGTGCATATTATTGACTATTATTGATACATGTAAATATACAATAAAAATATCTACATATAATATGTGTCTATCATAGTAGATCACTATTAAAAAAAAAACAAAGAAAACCATAAATTAGAAAGCTCATTGATAGTTTGTATGTAGTTTATTCCATTAAAAAAACTTATTCTTATCAACTCATGTCCCAGACCTGTGAAAATTTATTATTACAGTATAGTTGTCTTGGATTATACTAACTTTAATTATCATATTAGATAATAAGATGATGTTTATATGATGTGCATATTATTGACTATTATTGATACATGTAAATATACAATAAAAATATCTACATATAATATGTGTCTATCATAGTAGATCACCATTAAAAAAAAAACAAAGAAAACCATAAATTAGAAAGCTCATTGATAGTTTGTATGTAGTTTATTCCATTAAAAAAACTTATTCTTATCAACTCATGTCCCAGACCTGTGAAAATTTATTATTACAGTATAGTTGTCTTGGATTATACTAACTCTAATTATCATATTAGATAATAAGATGATGTTTATAGTTCTATTCTATAAGTGAGATTCATAGCATATGGTTCTTTCCCAAGATAGTAAAAGAAGGTTTTTAATGACTACAAAAACTCAATAAATAGGTAGGATTTTCAGTTACAATGTCTAGTTTAGAAAATTTTTTCTAAAACTAATCAATTATTGAATTTCACCAACCCAGCTACCAGCCTACCACTACTATAGAATTTTTAGATATGTTATCACATTATCTTATAGTCTTGAATCAAACAGAATGAAAGTAGGAGATTGATAGATGGTGGAAGCTATTCCATTAATGAGATCCATAACCTAAATGTCTTTTTTAAACCAATAAAAGAAGAAGATTTTTTAGGATTGTAAAAAGCTTATAAATATATAGGACTTTTGATTATAATGTCTAGGTTGAGAAGACTTTTCTAAAATCAATCAATTATTGGATTTTATTAACTAAACTATTATTATCAAAAGATTTCTAGATCCATTTTTAGATCGTATTTCAATTTTTAATCAAACAAAGTGAAAGGTAAAGATTGATTAGTTATAGTAGTTGCAAACAAATCTTGATATTGGACATGATATTTGTTCGATATTGAATAGAATAAGCCTTGTTTAATTGGCCCTACCCAGTACATTATATTGAGTAGCTTCTTTTTTAACATGCTCCATCCTAAAATATCTAGAACCGATTAAGATTAGACTAAAGTAGTTTATTTAATATCCTATATAAAGAGCAAAAACGTAAATCATATATAATGATATAATTGAAGTTAAGGCTATGAACTTATTTTATATATATGTTTATTTTTTAATAAGAAGCCCAAAAACTCTTAGATCTCTACTCTTTAAAAGAGTTGAAGAATTTATTGAAGCTCTTTCTTTCCAATTATTTTTATGCTTGGTGTTAAACCCTTCTTATCAATACTTTCTTGTTCATTATTGATAAGAGTTGTAGGGTAAAAAATGAATATAACTTCTTATATTCTTTCATGTACTTCAATTTATAAGGCTTTAATCAATGATTTTGGTTAAGGTAATTCCTCATATGAAATCATGAAAATGATATGAATTTATATAAATAACCTATAAAATAATAATTATTAAAAAGTTTATGTTCATATTTTAAAGAGTGTTTGGGTGTGAAGTGTGGTAGTTTTTTTTTTTTAAGGTACCACCCTTTTATAATCTTGTTGAATTAAAATGATATTTAACGATCTTTACCCAAGAGCTTTGGCCCATGTATAGCTAGTCAATCATTTTTTTTTCCAACCAAGCATCATGCTTTTTTTGTTTTTGTTTTTTTATCTTCCAGCCAATCATCTTGATTTCGTTTCTGCAACAACATATAATATTAGTTATTTATCTTAATGCTTACAACTTAATTTGTTTCTGGTGATAACAATAATCCATGCAATACTTTCTTTTTTTTTTTATGTTATTTTTGAATGACATCATAGCTACACCAGGGAAATTGATGCTACCCACTCAATTGCAAAAAGGAGCCGCTTTCTTCCTTTAAAAAATATCATTTCCATCATGAGGGCTCATTAAATAACATAATTAGCATCTTAACAAGGAGCAATAAGGCTATTAAGAAGCCAATTCCTTTACCTAGTTAGAGTTGTTTTGAAATGAGTAGCATTTTATCACAATAGTTTTGGATATAATTGTGCTGCTTACTGGCCTTTGATGAAGGAACTAGCATTTTTTAGGGGAAGGAAATGGTCATAGGTATATGGTGTCATTCAAAAACAACTAGTATTGACAGTGAGGGTTTTACACCAAACTAGGAAAAAAAATGGAAAGAAATAACTCCATTAAATTCCTTCTCTTCTAAAAAAGAGAGATCTAAGAGTTTTTGGATCAATTGATAAGACAGACATATTTATAAAAGGAATCCATAACCTTAATTTCAATTATATCATTATATATGATTTGTGTAATTCTCTTTTATAAGGAATATTATAAAAGAACCAATCGAGTTCAACCAACTGGTTTTAGATATTTTAAATTTGGAGCTTATTGACGAGGGAGAGCTTTCTAAGATGATTTGATGAGTGAGGTCATTTCACTAGGCCCAGCCTAGTCTCAGCAAAGCAGCAAATAAAGCTTATTCTGTCCATTATCAAGCAAACATCATGTTCAAGCCCAAAGAACTCTCTGAAATAGGTTTAGCCCAAAAAAGCACTCCAATCGTTCGGCTTTAGCCTTGGTATCCAAGGAACATCACGTGGATACGAGGCTGAGTCCCCCAGTAAGCCTGATCAAGTCTAGCTCATCAACAACACCTTTTCCCCCCTTCCAGTCATTTCCATAGGTAAGTTTAACACAACGTCTTCTCATGGAAAACAACCAGCTCCATTTTCGAAATCCAAGCTTCCCTTTCCTTCACTCTCCCATTTCTTTTTCGGCGGGCTTCATTTTATAAGCGTAAGCCATATAAATAGTCATTCTATGAAGGGTAAGCCAAAAAAGTTAGTTTCTTCACTCGATTCTCTATTCTCTATTCATTTAATCCTTATCCCTATACAAATACCACTTCATAGTTTCTAGACCAGCTAGTTTAGGGTAAGCGAACCCTGAACTCCGTAGTTCTTCTAGAATGAACATCTATCTAGCTTCAGATGTTGTTTCCTATATGGATCGCTAAACTATGGAGCTAAGAGCCGAATCCCTTGAATTCTCTCAACCTCGTGATTATAGTTCCTAATTTTCTGACTATGATATGGTCTCTGTCAGCCTTACCAGCCGTCCAAGATGAACCGAATTGATCTTTTTGGCCCCCTCAGCCATGCATTCCCGTCTTCATTTAGCAGCAAATTAACTCAAGGATAACCTTTATGTATGAGCTGGAAAGGAGGTATCTACAGATACCAAACAAACTAGCTAGTTTGAGAAGATCGTTAAATAAGAGGCGGATCTATAGAGTCTTTACTTCCTCGACTCCTTATTCATAGTTCAGATAATCCAACCTCCACCGGTCAGCAGCACCAAAGAGAATCATCATAACATTTTTTCTGAAATAAGAACTCATCAAGAGATGAGATGTAGGTAATGTCGTTTGATCACAGTCACGAGATTTGTCTGCAGCTACTATATCTAATCAATCTTCTGTTTTCATTCTATTTGATTGGAGATTAGAACGTGATATGAAAACGGATCCAGGAATCCCCGGATAATGGTTGTTAAGTTGGTAAAATCCGATAATCAATTGGTTTTAGAAAGACTTTCCTAACCTAGACATTGTAACGGAAAGTCCTGTCTATTTTTAGGGTTTTTATAGTCCTTGAAAATCTTCTTCGTTTACTGGCTTGAAAAAATTTGTAAGCTATGGATTTCACTAATGGAATGATGGAATGGAACTATAACCATACTTCCATGGTCTACCATGATACTTGGGTTACTTGGCAGGTATACTGTCACAGTAAATTCTCACGGGTCTGGGGGAGATTAAGTAGACGCTGCAATGTGACCCAACTGGAGTCTCGGCGTCTTGGAAGCAGCAACAAAAGTTGTGAAGGACGAGGAAGAAATTAAGCAAAGTGTGAAGAATTAAATCATCTGGTAAGATCATCTCTGAATGAAGTTACGAACTTCACTACTTCTTATTGTTTGTTAGGTTTTCTCTATTTATTTTATTATCTCTAACAGGTTCAAGAAAGCAGTAACTCTCAGTTTTCTAGAATTAAGAAATTAAAAAGACGACTGGATTGAGCCCTAAACCCAAGTAGAGCATCCATGTCTCCTCCTCATGTAAACTCTATTTCTAAAACTATCGGTCATATCTAATTATCTATCAATACATGTAGTTAATTGCTTGGACAGCACTCTCATGGTATACTTTCACATTGATTATTAAATGTCATGGGCTAACTATTCGTTAATACTGCTCTTTCGTTGGGATTGCCTTGTGCATGTGTAAGAAGGTATTGGCCTAGGTGTGTGCGTAACCTACTTTGTAGAGAAATTGTTGAAAGTTTGCACTTGTGGTTATCCATGGGATGGAAAACCAATGGGAACTGCACCGAACAACCCAGTTCAAGATGCTTCGATTCCATTTCCAACAGAAACTGGTGCCGGAGTCGCTAAGAATGCTCCTCAACACGCAAATGGGGGAAATGTCCAAGTCATGAATGAGCAAAATCAACAGCCTAATGTCAAGGTAGAAGGAAGGGGGAGGCGAATCGGGACTGTTCCCAAGGGTAGAGGATATTCCCAACCTGGCTGGACGGTGGCAGGATTTGATGTCGATGGTAGAAGTTAGAAGCAACATTTCATATTCTCCTATACTGAAACTGTGAGCACCTCTACTTTTGCTCCACCAAGCATGCTCTTTGTTCCATATACGCTGGCTGATTTTTCCTACCGTGTTTATTCAATTGACTATAGCTTGTTGATATAGAAAATGCCCTCTGACCTTTTGAACTTCACATTGCCACTTACCCTTGCCATCAATTCCTCATTCAAGGAAGTATCGCTCAAGAACATTTCTTATTCTTTACTCTTTAACTAGCCAAAGCTGCGACCTGAAGCTCTAGACTCTCCTTGTCCCTTTACATATTGCTTAATATTTTCTGCCCTGTGTATGTATTCTTTCACGTGTATATTGTCTGTTGATATAGAAGTGGTATTTGATCCTACTTCCCACTGCTGCTTCACTTGTGTTGCAAATAGAGTCCTTCGATATTGTTTTCCCATGTAAATTAAACATCTGTTGTTCTTCACTTTTATTCTGACTATAGCTGTACGTTTAAATCTCTAGACTCCCCTTCCCCTTCACATGTGCTACTTCTGCCCCCTGTGGGCTTTGATTGAACAATTGAAATCTTGTCAAAATTGCCCTCGGACAATCCAATTCGAACTAGTTTTACCTGGGTTTTAAATTAAACTGGATGGTAACTAATCCTGCCAACTAACAATTCAATCAACATAGTTTAATTCGAATTATTCTTTTTAAATAATATTATTTTCATATTAAAAAAATCTTGAAATAATATCATTTTGAATTGATTTAGATTAAAACGAGTTAGTTTGCCCAACTTATTATCCACGTTACGAGCTAAGTTTAATAACTTTGTCCAAAATCCACATTTAGAAATCATTAATTTCAATCGCGAGAAATAAATAAAAAATTATGGAGAAATAAGTAAATTTTCAATACTATATATACTAGTTTTAGTATTTAACTACCTACATAATTTTTTTTAACAATTTTTTTTTAATATGTTGGCTTTTTCCACATGTTTTTTAGACATAAAAAAATCATAAATATAAATTGAAAAGCTTGTATAAGGATTTAATTAAATAAATTAAGAATCATTTGCGTAAATAAATAAATAAGTCATTAACTAAAGATAAAACCAAAAACAATCAAGAGATAAATATAGATAAAAATATTTAATCTAGCAATACAAGTTATTTATTTATTTAATGAGTTTTTTATTAAAATTGATTTTTCATTTAGTCAAATAATAATAGAAATATATACACACAGGAGACCGATGGAGAAAAAATCAAAGCAAAAAATATTATGTAAGGTTGTACATACTAAAAATATTATCCAAGAATAAATATATTTTATTTTTAAAAATAAAATTTATTTAAATAAAACATAAAAAAATGTAGATGAATTAAAATAATATCTCAAAAACTAAATACAAACAAAATAAAAAACTACTATTTAAAAAGAGCTAAATAAACAATCTAAAAACAATGAGAGAAAAGAGATATTAAATTAAATAGAAATCAAAAAATTATTTTTAAAAAATACATGTTAGAAAAAAGTATCAATATAAAAAAAAACTAGAAAAAAAATAAAATTATGCGTTATTGGGCTTAGCAAGCCAAGGCCATGCACTTGGACCTTTTTTTTTTTTTTCTTTGTGATGGGGCGGATGACATAACATGTTAATTGTTTTTCTCTAGATTCTAGTTACAGTGGTGGTTGTGAAATCTAGGTTGATGGTTTTTGGACTTGAAAATTTATTTTTAGACAAAATATCTATAAAACACTATAAACACTTTAATAAACTCATATATGGTCTCAAACATCCATAAGATTTGTTTAAGAATCCAAAATAAAACCAAAATTAAAAATAATTTTGATCTCAAATCTACCATCTCAAGCAAAGTCAAGAGCAAAAAACATCTAGAATAAAATTTTTTCATTGAATATAACTCAGATTAAAGTAAATCTTTTTAGTGACTGAAATCAATATCAAATATTAAAACTTTCTTTCTCTTCCCTTAAACTAGAGCAAAAAATTAAAAAGAATAAAATTTGAAATCAAAATTAAATTTTTAAGAAATATAGGAAGACATAGTGGATTTTTTTATCCCATTTTAAAATTACCATCTATTTAATTCCATGTTTTTTTAACTTTGATCATCTTTTTTTTTTAATTTTGTAGTTCTTCAATAAAATAAATTTGAAGTAATTGTCATTCAATTTAGTCATAAAAAAAATGAAATCACCCCAAAAAAATTGAGAATTAAAATAAAAAAATAAAAAAAAATTAAACAATGAATCCACTACGAAATATAAGAGAGTGAAAATCGTCTAAAGTTTCAAGTTTCTTGTAATCACTGAAAATTGAGTTGGGATAAACATCTATTACTCTGAATCTCGTAAATGTTACTGTTGCAAAAATAATGCCATGTTTCCACAGAAAATAAAGCAAGGTCTTCTTTCTTTAACTTGTGCTTTGTTTGTTCATGCGGGGTACGGTGCACCACCGCACAAACAAACGGGCAGTATCATCAATGTGTTTTAACTTAGGCTTTGTCTGGAACTGTGACCTAACTGATCTTGGGGAAGTGTTCACTGTGCATGATATCATCAAAGTCCGTATCTACTTCTGCCATGGATGTTATTGACATTACTTGCATATGTTTGTACAACACCAGACTTGATTGATCCATTCGTCTTTATATATATGGTGTCGTAATCTGTAAATCTGCCACGCTGTTTTTGTTCTTCATACTGTTTCAAATTCAACAAGAACTCATACTGTTTCAAATTCAAACTTTCGAAATGCCATTTCCTATAAATTGTTAAGCATAATCATGAGGTTAATCCAATGCTGCTGGTGAACTTCAAATCAAATGATATAAGCAGCATGGACATTTTGCATAATTCTATGATCTTTGTGGGTCAAGAAACAGTGCAAGGTGCGTGGAATTTCAATTTCATGTACAATAAAGCAAGCAATTTCTGATTTGGCATTTAAACCTAGAACTGTTTACACCAAAGCTGTCCTGCCCTAATGAAAAAGTTACTCAGTTATTCTGCTCTGTGTAAATTGATTAAATGATTATAAGCCAAAAGTCCTAAATTTTTCTTTATGTTTCAACACTAACGCCTGTACTAACCTCCCAAAATGAAGGCCGGTTTTACATTCCTAGTTTTGATGAGGCAACAAAGCCCTTCTCTTCTTAATTTTCCATTCAAAAAACTGGACCCGTGAATAATTACAAGCTGAAAAGGAAATTGTCCCTTTGCTATCCCCCTCAAGGAATGTTTGAAAAAATTGATACACATCTAATATTTATATTATCTAATCCCAGTAAACCCATCAAAATTAAATAATACAGATATTATAAATAATATAAAAGGTCAAACAACATAAGAAACTATATTACAAGCTAGTCGGGTAGAGGACCTAGATTTTTAAAACATTACAACTCAATTTTATATATCATATGCTCCATTTGTTTTTATATTTGATAGTTTGTGTGTTGTATATTATTTTTATTTTATTTAAAGATATTTCAGCTCCAAAATTTTATTTATGGATTTTCTATTAGGTTTTTTTAACTTAATAACTTTTATTTTTATTTTTTTAGCATCTGAAAATTTAACTTAAATTAAATCAAAGAACATATTAATCAAATTGAGTTTTTAGTAATAGAGCGCTTAAACTTGACGGGGCAACACTGAAGAAAAAGAACAAAACACTGTAATTTTAATAAAAACTGGTGAGCTGGTGACTCACAGTTCACAAATTGACCTGGTACTTAACTTAAAGACTCGGGTATTTTTTGTCAGTTACTAGATGAAGCCTAACAACAATGAACGAGGCAGAAAAATGTGCAGAGCTGTACTGGAATTATGTAGACAATAAATGGTGGGTCAAGAACTCACAGGGTCACCATGCTTTGCTTTCAGTTTCCATTCAAAATTTATGTTGGTAGTTTAATTCCTCCCTTTAAACACGTATGTCTGCAAGAGGTCAGGAATCCACCACCAATCTAACAGAGATCACTTACCTACCAATATTAATCACTTTCGGTCACATAAATGAAGTAAATGCATATTTGAATATATATATATATATATATATATATATATATAGTCCGAATTAATTCAGCTTCAGCTTCTGTTCCTCACAGTACTGCTATAATTCTTTCTTTTTTTCTTGGTGAAGCACTAAACTAGCATGTGTTACTGTTTAGATATCATGACTTATGCATTCATTTGTGGTAGCAAATCTCAGTGTTCACCATTTGGTTATGTTGTTCAGTATTAATTTCACACCAGTGAAAATTTACCAACTTAAGCTTCGAAGAGGGCCTCTATGAAGTTTTCAAGAATTCATCAGCAACAATGAGTAATATTTTTCTATTATTGATACATCATGCTACAGCTGCTAGTGAAAATAAATCTCTATATGCTTGTGAATTTTTTTTTGGTTGGTCATGAGGTTCATTAGTCCTTGGATTAATTAAATATAGGGTTTAACTCTTGTTTTCTGTCCATCTTTCTGTCAATTATCATTGGTATGGGCCAATTTAATTACGAGTTTTTTTTTTAATTATGGGATTTTTGAATGATGTGATGATTATAAATTAAACATCTAAAATTCAAAATAATGGTATGTTAATCAAATTTAAACTTTTTTTTTTCTCAACTAGGGTTCTTGGAGGGAAAACATTAATAATTCAAATGAATTTGAGCATCTCCAAGAACACCACCTAATGATTTATCATAACTTTTTTTTTTCGTTTCCTGTTCGGTGAAATTAAAAACAAATTCATAATCGCAGCTCAACAAATCTTGAAATAATTATAAGAAACGTATTGGGAAAAATGTCTTGTAGGCACTAATCTAAAACCAAAAAAAATAATTAGTTGGAATTTTTTGTAAGAAGAGAAATCTCCTGTTTCATTAACTCTTTCTCACTACTAATTCAAAATAAAAGGACATACTGTAATCGATTTCCCTAGCTAGGACATGTATGATCATAACAAGCTGGTGAGTCGTTAAACATCAAAGCAAGAACATAAATAATTTGAAGGCATAATTTTGTGGTCCTACATAGCCCTTTGCATCGAGGGTCTGTAAGCTACATACTGATAAGCCCTAACCTCGGTGAGGTAGCTTTTTTATTGAACAGTTCACAGTTCCTATATATATATAGAGAGAGAGGGCCCCTGATCAAGGACATGGCCAATCTGTCCAAGAACTAGCCTTCCAATCCACATGATGGGCAAATGTGTATCAATTTCTGTCCCCAGCAATTCGAAAGCACTTTTAAAACAATATATAAAATCGTATATATAAACATTTTCATCATATCATTTGTGCATTGTTTTTTCTTTTGGAATCTAAACCACTCAAGTTTTTCTCTAAAATTACTTAACTTTTAGTGAAGAATGTTTTGTACTTTGTTGAACCTAATTGTATTGGTTTACACGCTAAAATGTGCAAAATGATTCCTGACTTTCTGGATCAGAATACTGCGTAACACATGACT